CAAAAAAAAACAAAAGCAACAAAAAATATAAAAAACATTTCTTTCCCTGCTTACTCTAACTTTAACGGCTTTATGCTCATGGTTTGGTTTGGTTCTATTGCCGCAACCATAGATAGGCCTAGTCTGGCTGTAGAGGCCTTCGCCATAGTTAAACGTGAATTTTTTCGCGTTCTCGATGTTTGTTTTGCATTTTGCAGCTAAACTCGGCCTTTTCCTGTATATGCCTTAAATGGTTTTTGCTGCTGTTGTTGTCATTGCGCTTCCCTTTTTCCCTTTTTTTTTTCTGTTGTGTTATGTTATGTTATGTTAATGGTGATGGTGTTGAATGATGATTTGTTTTAGCGATTTTGCGCGGCCTACATGCTAACGCGCGCGCCACCAACTGATTTTTTTGCCATTTACCCAGCGATTAGTACAAAACTTAACATCAACGTTAACGTTACATAAAAATTTTTATTTTCGGATTTTTTCTCTCTCCAAAAAACAACAACAAAAACAACAACAGCAACAACAAACAAATCCAAAAAAAAAAGAGAAAGGAAAAAATTTAGTAACAAATTCTAAATCGGAAAATAAACAAAAAAAAAAAAAAATTCAAACAACATTTTTTAGTAACAATACAAAAAAAAAATTTTCTTTTTTTTTTTTATAATTTGTTCTTCTAATTTGAGTTTCTTTCGTGTTTTCAAATTTTTTCTCGAAATTCTTTAAATTTGTTTTTTACTCATTTTCTTCATAAGTGCAAAAAAAAAAAAAAAACAAAAGAAAGTTTAATCAAAACCGGGTTTTTGTTACTTCTCCGCTTAACTATTAAAATTTTAGAACAAAAATTTTAAAAGAAATTTATGTAAATTTGAAAAAAAACGGCAACAACAAAAAATATGAAGTGCTTTTCTTTACTAAATCAAACGCGTACCAGAAGCAATGTCAGCAACGAAATCAACTACTACAGCAACAACAATAAAACGTACAACTGTCAAGATGTAAACGACTACAAGCAATAGCTTTTTTTGTCTTTTTTGTTCTTTCCTTTCAACAAAAATGTCTAAAATTTGACTCCAGAGTTCATCTATTGTTTTTTTTTTTGTCCTGGTAAGAAATTCATTAGATAAGTAAAGAAAAATTTCTCTTCTATGATATACCTCTTGTAATAGATGTTTATTCCCGCTTACACTTATATATTCTTCTCTCGTTTTCTCTCTTTCCCCCCCTTTACTGGTTATCCCAAGCAAAAGATATGTTCTGTTCCTAATACTCGTGGGTTGCCTTTGGGTTTTCTAAATTAAGAAAGACTTGCAATGTAATAATTCTCCATCTCTATCTCTCTCTCTCCCTTTCTCTCTATTCCTCTACCATTGTTTCTTCCTCGCTCGCTCTTTATCTGCTCTTCTTGTTCTTGCAACTCTCTTTCTATTCTTTCTCTCTCGCTCGCTCTCTTTCCGGTATATACGCTCTGCCGTATTAGTTACTTAGAAATCTTTGACTTACTAAAAAAGAGAATTTCATGCACTCATTACTTGTCTTAAAATCTTAACTATTTAATACAGATAAATGAATATGTCTGTGTATATGTATGTACATATATATTTATATATATTTATATATGTATGCACGTATATGTAGGAGTAAGTAAAGATTTTGTGGCGAAAATTTTATGAGCATACATTGTACTTGTGGTTGTAGTAGATAATTTTTGTCTTTTTTTTCACTTCTTTCCCTCTTTTATATATATGTACATGTAATTTTATGGTTGTGTATAGTTATAGGTAAGCACTAAGCTTAAGCAGTCGCTGGTATATGTTTAGATAAATATTTCTGCCATTTTTACTTACTTATACAAATTTTAACTCAAAGATTATAAATGGCAACAACAACAAGAAGAGAATCATACGAAAAATCTCTTTTATTATAAACAATTACCGTAAGTGTAGAAATAGAACTTAAACTTGTAGGGGATTAAATCCTAAACTTACATCTTAGGCTCTCTCTCTCTCTCTCTCTTTTTCTCTGTATCCTTTGAGAAAATTTTCTACTTATAACTCTCACTAGCAGATAATCATTAAATATTTATATATATATATATATATATGTATATATAAATAAAAACAAATCTTTTGTAATAATAAAAAGAAAAATATTTTAAAAACTTTTCTTACAATATTTATTGAGTGCTACTCGACTTTACGATTCATGTCTTGCGAGAAGATGCTTGTATATGTTCTATAATTTAAACGACTTATATTTTAGTCTTGTTTAAGTCTTACGTTAAGACTGTTGTGTTTGACGTGGTAATACTTAAGCGTATGTGTGAATTTTAATTGATTGAATTAAAAATTTAAAAAAAAAAAAAAAAATTGCATAAATAAATAAAAAAATTTCATATAATTTGAAAAAATTTAATTTCCAAAGTAGTAACAAAAATATTTGAAAATTGAATTTAAAAAAAAAAAAAA